TTTTACACTTTACAGCAGCGAATCCCAATCCATTCTCTGTATGTGCTTCTTTCTCCAGCCAACTTCTCCAAAGATGTAGTCTGCTCATGGTTCTTTACACTGGTCCACCCTCCACCTCAGAACCTAGGTTGTTGTATGGTATTCCTCTCGAACTCCTGAGCTCAAAGGATCCACCCGCCTCAGCCTCCCAGAGTGCCAGGATTACAGGCGTGAGCCACCACGCCCGGCCTAATAACCCTGTTTTATTTAAAATTTTGATATTTTGTTTATCCTGGATTTTTTCACATTATAATGTTATTTATCTTGATTACTGAAACTTTGCCCCCCCTTAAATGTTGTGCCCAAGCTAAGTGCCTCACTTGTGCCACCCCACTCCCGGCCCTGACCCCAGGTGCCCCTCCACTCCTAGTTACCCCCAATCCAGGCCCCAGGGCTTAACTGAGATATACCCCCTGGAGACTCACCTCTGCGACAGTCATTTATATGAGGCATTTTCTTGTGGGTCAACTCATGGCGAAGTTCAACAATCCAATCCGGAATGTTCACCTGATTATAGGGGAGGGCATGAGTACAAAATTACAACTATTGAAGGTGGAAGGGACCCAAAGATAAATTCGCCTGACCTCCCACCCCATTTTCCACATAGAGAAACTGAGGTCTTGAGAGAAGATTCCAGTGTTAGTGGCAGAGCCAGTATTAAAAAAACCAGGTCTCGGCTGGGCGTGGTGGCTCACGCCTGTAATCCTAGCACTCTGGGAGGCCGAGGCGGGCGGGTGGATCGTTTGAGCTCAGGAATTCGAGACCAGCCTGAGCAAGAGCGAGACCCCATCTCTATTAAAAAAAAATAGAAAGAAATTAGCTGGACAACTCAAAAAATATATATATATAATAATAAAAAAAAGAGGTCTCCTGATTCTTTTTTACTGTGCTGTGGAGGTGGTATTGAAAATCAGAAAAGGCACCCATCTTCCCCAACCACCAACTGCCCTCCTGCAACAAAGAGATTCCTGTGAATGAGCATTAACAATCACCTTCCTCAGCCTCCCTCTGCCCTGTGCGTCTCCCTGGGTCCTCCTTACCCTTCCCTTCCTCCCACACCTCCTGCAGGAAGCTCCTCTGGACGACTAAGAACATGCCTGCCATAGGGGCCTCTACACACTTCATATACTCACTTGGGGCAGGAATGTATGGCATTTTCATGCTACTAGGCTGAGCCGTCTCCTCCCTCAGACTGTCACCCTGAGAGTAAGTGCTGTGACTGCCACCTCTTTCCTGTTCCCACCTGGTGGTACATTCTGGCTCCTGAGCTTCACTGGGCCATTCCCAACAAGCGGGGCAGGCCAAGCCCTCTGAGAAACTAGTCATGAGCAATGGAGCAATTCTGTTTCTTTCAAGCTGGAAGCTGAGGCTCTGGGGTTCTTGCTGGGCTTGACTGATACTGACGGGATGAGTTAGTTTGACCGTGTGCCCACATTATCCCATTCCCCATTCAGTAAGCCATCTTTAAGAGAGAATTGAGCAAGGCCACTTTATCATACGCACCTCCTGAGCCAGGAACTTGAGAGGGAGCTTGGAAAACTTTGTCTTCCTCTCCGAGATAAGATTCACAAACCTGGGGTTGGGGGAGAAATAAGTGGCACAGCCCAGGGAACCATTTTACTCAAAACACCTTGCTGAGTTACTGACACCTTGCATTTCCACAACCCTTCCACTGACTGTCCTGTCCTGTTCTCATGGCTGGTGTCAGCCAGAGCAGGGACGGTTCCATCCATTCCAACATTTACTGAGACTCTGCCCTGTACTGAAGCCATACAGATGAATAAGATGCTGCTCTGGCCTTGAAGAGTCCGGTGTCGGATAAATAATCATGACATAACATATTACACTAAAACGTAATATGTTATAAATGCTACAAAAGACTACATCAGATGATAACAGGGAGCACAATGGAGAAGGTAAGAAAAGCAAGGAAGGCTATCAAAGCAGACAAGGGGAATAGTATATGAGATGAGCAAAGACTGACAGATGAGAAAACTCAGTGGCAACCTTTTTCCCAATGTGTATGAGACAGCTAGAACCACTATGGGTCACTTTGTAAGTCAGGAACTCTGAACTCCACTTTCACAACTCAGCAACTTTTTAGTGTTCATGGGGGAGAGAAGGGGGAAAGGGTGGTGCTACGTACAGATGGGGGTAGGGTTGGAAAGTCCACATTAAATCACAGCAAGGACATAGACCCATTCAGAAAAGTTCCTCTGGGTGATGAGTTCAACAGGAAGAAAAAATATCAGACCCATAGAGATATCACCTGGTCTGAACCCCACCCCGACTCCCATATTCCAAGAAGGAAAGAAAAATGGGAGAGAAGGCTTTCAGGAAAAGGGAAGAAAAAGAGGAATGTGTTGACAGAGGTACCAAAAGCTGTCAAGTGAAGCAATAATCACAGGCTGACCCACACTCAGGGACACGCAGGGTTTTTCTTCAGGTGGCACCTGAAGCCAAGCTTTGCACATCACATGCCTCCCCCACCCCCTGCCCCCTAAGCCAACCCCCACCCTTACCCATGCAGGTCTTACCTGACCAATGCCATGCCATACAGCAGTCTAAGTTCATCAGTGCCCAAGCCACCAGTTACATCCATGAGCTTACAGCGTATCAGGTCAGCAGTAGAAGCCACTGCCAGGGGGAGTTCGTTGCCTAACCTAAAGGGCCACAGTCCAGCACCATCATAAAGGCCACTTACACTGGTCCACCCTCCACCTCAGAACCTAGGTTGTTGTATGGTATTCCCATCATATACTGGGTCAAGAGTGCATGAACAGACACAAAACAAGAAGGTGGGAGGTGAGAGGGCAACGTCTGTGAGATCCGACAGTATACAGGGGATGAGAGGCTGGCTAGGGTGAACACAGAATACCTAACTGCCAGACTGTAAATCAACAGTTGTGTGGACAACGTCCCCTTTCTTTCAGCCTGAAACCCTCAACCCATTCAGCTAGAGAGCCCTTTATCCCTCATTAATCTGCCCCCCAACTCACTCTTACCAACTGGACTGAGGCGCCCAACTAAAACATGGTTTTGCAGGCAAGAGTCCCTCCTTGCCCTCCCTAATTCAAATCGGAAATCCAACCCAGGGTGTTAACCTACTCCTTAGGCCGTGGATCAGGCATCACCGGTCCCTCTGGCACCCTACTCAAGTTGGGAGAACGTCACTCTTCGGAGGTAAGGGGTAAAGCTCGTAGATATAACAAGAGAATTGTTGAGGCACAACCCCTTACTTTCCAACCACAAATGGGATGAAAGCAAGAGCTTGGCTGCGGCTTTACCTCCAGGCACTTGAAGAGGGACAATAGGCAATTCAGGGAAAGCCTGGGCAATGCGGCCTTATAGAAACTCGACAAAGACGTCAGGCGCCACCAGCACTCAGGCAAGAAGGCGGAGCCCGCCGCCTTACCTGCTTCTCCACACGGTGATGCGGTTCAGCGCGTAGCGCTGCAACTTATGGTCGTCACAGAACAGATAAACCGTCACCTGGTCCCATTCGGCCCTAGTGAGCCAGGCGACCACGATGCTCTGAGCCCAGAGTGGCGACGATTCTTTCACTTTGACGCACTTTCCGTACCACGCACTCCACACGAGATCCATTCCCAGGGACCCAGACCTGGCCCGGCTCGGGATTCCCACCACACACTGGGTTCAAGGCCAGGACCTGTGCCGCGGCGCTCGACACAGCCTTCAGCTTAACGTGCTACCCTCACTCCGAACCGCTACTGCGCCAACAGCCAATTGGAGAGCATGACCCCTACGCAAGCCCGCCTTCCAGCGTCAGCGTGACCAAGCAGAACGTGAGAGTTAGTGGCCGTCCTAACCACGTGCGAGGTTACGTGTTCGTCGGCGGAAGTGTTCTTCTCGGAAAGCAACCCTGCCAGGTGCAAGCGGTCAGCCTCAAGGTTCCGCTAATTTCCTGATTGCTAACGGGCAACGAGACCCAAAGGGATGTAACTGGAATGAAGGAGGAATTTTACTTTGCGCCCCGTGGCGGGCAGCGGAGGGATTGTGATCAGCCAGTGTACTTCCTGGAAATGTGATTTTTAAGTATATTTTTACTGCCATGAATCAGGACCTAACCCAGTAAAACATTATGGACACTGAAGTGAGAGTACAGGGCAAATATCTAATATCTAAATAAATAAAGTTGGATTGAAAAAATCTGCTTTTTTGGCAGGTATCCAGGGGCCCAGCCTTCTAAATTGGTACCAGCCTGTTGCGCAGTGATTATGAGGCCTGCATTACTGGGATGAGAATTATCTTGAGAGTATAAACACCTGGGTTCTGGTCTTAATTTTGCCACTAACTGTGTGGCCTTGAACAAGTCTCTGCCCCTCTCTGGGTCTCAGTTTTCCCATCTGTACTGTGAGGGTTGTAGACTCTAGATTCTCTTTGTCAAGGGAAAAGAAGCCAAACTCTATAAAATAGTTTAAAGAGCCAAATTTCAGGAGCATGACACGGAGCCACGCCCAAGAAGCCTTGAGCAAGTGGACTCGCTGTGATTGGGTTACAGTTTGTTTTTTTTACTTTTCAGGGAGACAGGGCTTACAGGTAAAAAAAAATCAATACGTGGAAGGCATACATTGGTTTTGGCCCCAAAACGTGGCCATTTCAAAGGGGGGGGGGGTTTACAGGTTATAGGTGGGGTTAAAGATTCTTTGACTTGTAATTGGTTAAAAACATGAAGCTTTGTCTAAAAGGCTTGGAATGATTTAAGATAAGGAAGTCTGTTAACAATCAGAGACGAGCTGGGACATATTTGTTGTGTAAATTAAGGACCTGCAGGTTTGTTTTGCATAGCCTTAGACCTTTCAATGAGTTACAAAGGATATTTACAAGAAGGGAGGGGCGCATGATGAGGCACGTCAGACCTCCCTCCTCATGGCAGGCAAATCAGTTTTAGGGTGTGCCCTTGGCTAGGAGGGGTATATTCAGCCATTCAGCAGCCCCCGCCCCGCGCCCTGGTCAGGGGGAAGCCTTAAGATTTTATTTTAGTTCACACCTTCCATAGCTGAAAATTGTAGCATTTTACTCTGCCAATATTCCACTGCTATGTTGGCTTCAACATCCCTAAAGGTATACTTAGTTCTTCTGCATAATTTCTTGGTATTTTGGAGTTCTGGGAGGAAAGCAATCTTATGAAGCCTTTCCGATTTTACAGGTTGGCTAAAATGTGTTTAGCACTCTGTTCCAATCCTCCTCACAGAACTTATTTTCCAATCTAACACTTGAGAGAAAGAGAACTGTTAGCAATCTTAACAGCATTTCTGCGAGTGGCTCTTTTACACTTTACAGCAGCGAATCCCAATCCATTCTCTGTATGTGCTTCTTTCTCCAGCCAACTTCTCCAAAGATGTAGTCTGCTCATGGTTCTTGACTGACAGTTACTCTGTCCTGAGCAGCCATGCCAATTAGTAGGCCAGGTGTCTGCCAGAAACCAGATATCATTTTACCTGCGCGATCTTGGCTGTGTTCAGGTAAAGAAGTCAGGGAGATGGTTCCTATGATTCCTCAAGATACAGTCCAATCAGAGGAGCTGCCAGATCTGTAGCACTCATTCACTCACATTTTGGGGGTTTATAGGCTAATCATTTTGCATAGTGCTTTTCAGGTAAAAAACTGTATTTTCCCACTTTTCCTCCACATGGAGCTGAAGGTCTCCCTATTCCATGTGTTCCAAGAAAACTTGCCCAAATCACATAACAAGAGTGTCGTGTCTAATATGTGGCAAATGGGGCCTGAGACCTACTGAGAATTAGGGATTAGTGGAGCAAGTGTGTTAAATAGTAGTATCTTTAAGGGAACATTTTATTAGTTTCCACCTATGGCTGCTATAGCAAATCACCACAAACTTGGTGATTTAAAATGACAGAAATTTATTCTCTCATAGTTCTGGAGGCCAGAAGTCTGAAATCTGCATTACTAGGCTGAAATCAAGGTGCTGGCAGGTCCACGGTTTCTCTGGTTGCTTTAGGGGAAAATCTAACTAATGCTATCTGCTTCTGTAAACCTGCTTGCTTAAAGATTATAATCAGTCGCTCGTAACCGGAGTAGGTGGTCCAAGGCAGGTCCCGGACCCCACGGTTATGAAATGTATGATGTAATTTGTCCCACTTCCCCATACCTTATGTCACGTAGCCCATCTTAGAATAGTATAAGACCTCCTTGCTTTTTCGACTAACCACGATTCTCTGTACCTGTACTCTGACAGGGCAGGGGTGGTCGCTGGCCAGCTAATAAAGACTCATAATTCGGCTGAATTCGATCTTTAAGTGGTCATTTCTCGCACTCCGTACCTTAACAAAAGGAGGAAAATGTGATTCTCTCCCAGGTCTCTGTAGCTCTGAAGCCTAGGATCTGGCCCCAACCCCAGCCATGGGGCTGTGATTTACCTGTTTACAAAGAGCTTCAAGAGCACGGAACCCCAGTGCTTAACACAGTCTTGAGCCCCAATTATCTTTAATCCTTGTTTGCTGAATGAATTCCTGAATATAATACCTCACTTCCCACTAAGGAGGTGTTGCAGTATTTCTCAAACTTATTTTTTTGATAAGGAGAAAGAACCCAAGCCTATTTTTTATAAATAGGAAAGCAAAACAAAACCAAAAAAAAAAAAAGTATGAAAAACTAAAATGCTGGGCCAAAGGAGAGATAGTGCCTTATCCAAAGGAATAGGCCCTCTGAGGAATTTCGGATTTCAGGCCTGATTGTGGGTGTGGGGGGCTTATGTCTGTGAACTATTAATAAAATACAATCTTAAGCCCCCCCAGCTGATTGAATGGACCCCCTCTTGGCCAAGGGGACCCCAGAAATACCCTAAAGCTGAGTTGCTGGCCTGAGATGGGAGGTCAGACAAGATTAGTCATACTCCAAGAAGGATATCCTTTGAATCTCATAACCAGGCCTAAGGCTATGCAAGACAAAGCTTGAACCACAGTGGAAGGTCCTCAATTTTCCCAACAGATCTCACGAGCCTATGTCTGGTGGCTTGTCTCTGATTAGCAGACTTCCTTATCTTAAAACATTCTGAGCCTTTAGACAAATCTTCATTTCTTTAACCACTTACAAATCAAAGAATCTTTAAACTCACCTATAACCTCAACCCCCCACATCACCCCTTCCCCACCTCCGGCAATTTCGATTTCGAGATGTTCTGCCTTTTCGGGCCAAACCAATGGACACCTTCCATGTATTGATTTATGATTTTATGTGTAATTCCTGTCTCCCTTAAATGTATAAAACCAAACTGTAACACAAGCACAGTGAGACCACTTGCTCAAGGCTTCTTGGGCATAGTTCTGGGCCATGGTCCTCATACTTGGCTGAGAATAAACCCCTTTAAATTATTTTACAGAGTTTGGGTTATTTTCCGTTAATGCATCCCTTCCAAAACCTCCAGGCTGCCAAAGCCCTAAAATGGCAGAATTTCCTTAAAGAAGTAGGTGACCCACTTAAGAACAGAAACTCTGTTTCAATAGATGAGGCACATCTGATGTTCTATCCAACAATACCTCAGAACCAGGTGCAGGGCCAGATAACACATCTCAAAATTAACTGCCAGTTTCTGTTGTAGGAACCTCTCCAGAATCAAATAGCCTCCCCATGAAGGGACCCCAGAGGTCATCTTACCTAGTTCCCTACCTAAGTAAATTGTATCTCGGTGAACTGGGAGCCTATGCATTCTTGAGGATTTGTTTTAGATGCTAACAATGCTCATAGTAGAAAGGTGTTCATGTCTATCCTCCAGCTTTCACGTTGCATTAGCAACATGGTTTCTCTCAGCTCTCTGCCAAAATGACAAACACCATAGATTCAAAGTTCTCACTGCCCCCTACCCCACGCTGCCCAACAATCTATATGATTGGAATCTGTTCAAATCCTCAGATTGTGTATTTTTTCCTAACAAAGCTAGAAGCTTCTCTAGTAACATGGAAGATTAGATTGGAGCAGTGCAAGGTAGCTGAGAGAGAGGAATCATCTCTTTTAGGGGGTCTTTCAGAATCTTTCTAAAGCAGTAGCTTTCAAACATTTTTGAATCCTGACTCATTGAAAGAAATAGATTTTACTTCATGATTCATTTCACACATACATAAGTATAACAGAAACGAAAGTTCCACAAAACAATACTTACCTTTACTAAATGCAATTCAACTCTAGTTTACTTAGTTTCATTTTTTGAAAAATGTTGGTCATCACATAAGGGAGTCATGAACACATACCACTAGTACCTGAAAACCAAAGCCTTCAATCCCCATATTCAGCCTGGGCACGAAGAACTGAAACCACACTTTACTGTCTACATTAACATGACTTTGCTATTCTACTGTCTTCATTAGCATGACTTTACTTTTGCAAGACTTCCCTGCCCAGGAAAATGTCATCATTGTTCATTATGAGGACATCCCCAACAACCAGGAAAAACCCATCAACTCTTCAATGGAAAACATCAATAGAGAGTTCAAAATTCCCTAAGAGTCTTTGAATCTCTCACATCAAAATTCTTGCCTTGCTGTTTCCACCAATCCTGGACTGTTCTATCTCAATCCTTACCTAACTCTAATCAAGTCCCTGCATTGAAAGACCCACCTCATACCAAATTTGCAATTCTCAAATTCTGACCTTGCATTTCTCCCTCTGAGTTACTGCTAAAGTTTTGCAGAGGTGGTATTCTCCTTTATCCCGGTAAGCTATAAACTCCACTTTGCCTTATCAACAGGCTATGTTGATGA